CCAAGCGGTGAGTCATCTAAATCTTAATCGCATATACTTTTGATTTGACTGTATATTTGTTTTGTAAATATATCGTAAATGTTTTAAGCAAACTGGATATAAGGCTTATTAGTCTTTAGTTCCTGGTCTGTGATTTTTAGGGGTAATTGTAAATATTCAGACATTAATTAATTGATTTAAATATGAGAAAATAATGTTAAAGCATATTATTGCTTGTATTTTACTAAATCAGAAAAAAAAGTGTGGAATACTGTGTTTTCCCTCGGAGCATCAATATAAACCGTAAGATGTCGCCGAATGCTGCTGTCATTAATTCTTGTCGAATAATCTTTCATTCTTCTCCAGTAGCAAAGGCGAACTCGACAATCCCTTCTGTAAGGATTCTTATGAACAAGCAACAAGCATTTTCGATGAGTGTGTAGGAGTGAATCCTAAAAACAATAACTATTTTAATTTCATGCTGAATTCAATATAAACTATTAAAGTATATATCAGTAATCAGTATACTATATTATTAGTAATATCAGATTTCATAGTTTCGTTGGTAGATTGCCATCGCCAAATGAGTGAGTTAGGTTCATGAAATTTTTTAAGCCCAATACCACCTGTTCTTACATAAAATTGTCAAACTTGGACATTTGCCAAAGATAATCTAAAAAAAATCTAGGGGGAGGTCTATGTCCAAAAATGGATGTTCTTGGATAATTAGATAGATATGGTCCATGAAAAGGAAGCACATAATGGTTGCTTCTGAACACGGATTATTCTGCTATGATTTACTTACCTTACTCCGTGGCGTTACAACCTTTCGTGGGTTTTAGCCGACTCGACAACATGCCTCCACTGTCTTCTGCCTTGAGCAACCTCCATCCAATTCTCCACGCCCATAGTGCTTAGTGTTATATTATCTCGCCACTGGAGACGAGGGCGTCCGCGTGGTCTCCTTCCAGTTGGGACTTCCTCCCACACCAGAATGTCTTCTGAGGTGTCCTGCCCATTGTAGTCTTCTGGACTACATTACATACTATTTCTTTTATGATGTTGGCGTCTGTGTAAAGTTTTATGATCTGCTATCATTTGCCAGGAAAATACTGGATGCATCGAAAAACATGACCAAATTCCTCGGGTACGTGAATGTACCGTCCTATCGACGAACTTAGTCTTGACGTTTTAACCGAGGAATTGTTAAAATTCGTTAAAATATCCTAACCTGCTTGCAGTAATCATCTTCCTAGTGTAGAGACATACAATAGAAAACGCCACGTGTGTGTCTAATCTATTTTTCAAACTGTTTTACTGCCATAGTGGGGATCACAGATTTGTTATTTTATCATTATCAGATATTACTCGGTGATTTATGTTTAACGAATTAAACAACAACAAAAATAACTTATATTATTAAAGATACACTGTATAAACTATAGGTACTTATACTCTAGAATATTAAAACCGTGTGACCGAAAACTTTTGAATGTCGTTTGAAACTTTCTAACGAGACTTTATCGAAGAATTTGTGGAACTATTTCATACAGTTCATTTTAATAACCATAAAATCCTATAGGATAAATTATCATATATTCAAATTCATAAAAATATGAATTTGAACACATCCTTTTTCATTATGTCTCCTGAACGATGAACTAAGGTAGTAAGAAATCGAATACTGACATAGCACCTGGTAGACTACCAAGACTATGGGCAGTACGATCTTTGAGAAGTCTACATATTTAATTAAACTCATTCTTACCTTTTTAATATTGCTTCTATTACTCTATATTCATTTATTTTGTTAATACTATTTACATTAAAATGAACTAATAAGTTACTTCTTATTATTTTGCAAAGCGGAATACTCCATATTGTGTAGACACAATTCCAATGACAGGTTTAACACCTGATATGGTTATTTTTTAATTTTATTGCAGATTGGACAAGCTTACATATGGAATTATATATATATATATATATATATATATATATATATATATATATATATATATATATATATAGAATTTCATATTATGGAATTGGTCGAAAAAATATTAAGGATCATAATACTTGTATATTTGTATCTTATTCGCATTGTTTAATTGTAACACTAGCATTCCAATCAATTGCTACTAGAAAGGGCATACGAAGAGAAGATATTAAATGTAAATATTCTTACGTTAAAACGATAAAATATTATGACGATGTGGAGCGTAGAGAGTAAATCAGTAATTATATTCATTTTAATAAAAACAGATAATCCTTTGTATCTTTATACACACACACATAAGTTTCTCTACTAGAGTAGCTTTTTTAACTTTAAAGCTTTAAAACTAAGTGAAAGATAAAGTTTGAAAATGGTACACGTATAGGCCCCAACAAGTGGCCATGCGGACTATGAAATAGAAGAATTCTACGATAGCATTACTTTGACACTAAAAACGATACAAAAATACACTTTATCAAAATATGTGGTGACTTCAATGCTAAAACGGAGAGAAAGGCAGATTTCTTCTTCAATGACAGTTCGGAGGTCGGGAAGGGTGCGTGGTCCTCTTGCAGAAACGCGGTCATTGAGAAGGCCCCACAGGAAGAAATCACAGGGTGCCAGGTCACATGACCGTGCGAGCCACTCAACGATTCCTCATCTGCCTATCCATTCTTCAGAATCAACATTAATGTACTCCCGCATACATGGCGTGTTTTCATTCTGAAAACGCGTCTACTCGACAACCACGTGCTACCATGACATCGACAACTGTCTGAACTCTGAAACACCAACATGCTTCGTTCGTTTTAATCTTTTTCGACAGCGTTGCCAGACTTATGAGCGTTGCCGATTTTTCGAGACCGTTGCCTGACTTATGCCGACCCCCTTAATATTAAAGTTTTAGTTAGCCTGATCTCATACGTAGCATGTTGGTACCAGTTTATCATTTCTTCTTCGTTATGGTCTCATATTTTTTCCGTTAAATCGAACAAATCCTAGCAAATTGTTGAAACGTTTAACATCCATAGTAACTGTAAATATAGGAGGTCCATAACACTTACTCCAATGTATTTCTACCTTGTTATTGGCAGTTAAGTGTCCTACATTCATTTTCAATTTTCTATTTGGCTTTTTAATTTTTATTACAATTCACTATCGAATTCACAATTTTTTTTGTTCATAAATAAGTATGCCATAAACCAATAAGAAAGATTTCATACCTAAGCCAGGTTTAGAATCCTTATCCAGCTTATAATAAAAAATAAAATCGGGGGTCGCAGAGGAATTGGAAGAAAGCAGATATCGGGGCTCAAGACCATCCGCGATTGGACATGAATACGCATTTTGATTAGCTGAAGACCATGAAAAACTCGTCAATGTAATTGCCAAAGTAAGGCAGACCTAATGTAGCACCGAAAGAAGAATAGAAGAAACAAATAAAAGGAATTCAAGTTTTTTAGTATAACTGTTATTTTACAAGGTCGTAGGCTTTCTTGCATTGCCTTCGTTGGATTGAAAATTGACATGATTACATTTTTATACTCGTCTTTGATAATGACTGTCATAGTTGCAGACGAAACCTTAGGAAGATAAATTCCAGACCACTGTATATAAACCCGGAAAATAGGGTATCATTTCCAAATGCAGTTTTACCTCGCATGTGCTTATATGTTTCTTTACGTTAAGGTTTGAATTATATTTATATATATATATATATATATATATATATATCCGGTTTTTTAGGCGTTACGCCCGTCCGGTAGGGATCTATGGAGGAGTATCACCAAGCCGCAAGCCCTTATCTCTTGCCGTACTGCTCCACCATAGGCCGATCAGATCCCAGCATATCCTAGTCTAAGCCGCAGATTCATCTAGAATTTTAAACTGCTGCGTTAGACTTTTTGTTTTCAGTACACCGAGCTGGGGCTCGAACCCACATCCACTGAACCATTCGACAGTGAAGCGAATGAGAGGCAGCCGCACAGCCCGCTGAGCTATCTGACCGACTATTTTTATATATGAGTATAATTTAAGACACGACCCTTCAAGACTAGAGCGTTGTACCTATGTCTATGTAGGGATTGCAATGAGTGTTACAATTAAAAATAAATTAAGTAAATAACACATGCAGTACTTCGAAACTGAAGAATTGAAAATAGGCAGAATTAGAACATATTGAATTGATTTTGTGCCATAGCGTTTACAAAACTTTGCAATGTATTTTCGATCTTTTCCAGAAATTTAAACATTTTATTAATCGAATATGTAATCAAATGAGAATAACTTGGTGTGATAGGACTATACTTTGTATATATACGGACATGAATTCATATTTTAGCTAATAACCATGTAATGGAATGCTGATTGTTAGTAACGATGCCATGCATCTATGCTGTCTAGTCTGTATTTAGTTTTGTCGAATTTTGTTTATTTCTATATAGACGATTATTGTTTATTTCTATATAGAGCGTAGCTGTGTTATTTGAAACGCAATAAACCGTATACAACATGTGTTTAGTATTCATTTCTATTCCGGTCTCCGTGAAATCCGCCCGGTATAGCTTTGTTGAACTTTTTCAATCCGGCTTAGTGGATATTAAAGGAATTTAGGAGAATAAAAAAGAAAGATGGTAATCTCTAAGCGATAGGGGAGCAGATAGAGATCGTTATCATTACATATGTACACGAAAAAACTGAGAAAATGCACGATTTTATGGAAAAGCAAAGAGATGCCTACATCTTGGAACACATCAAGTCTTATACCAATACCTTTACTTCTAATCCTTCTATTTCAGTTACTTTATACTATACATTGTTTATATTTTGTTTGTATAATGTTATGTATATAACGGTAATTGCGTATATCGTAACTGTTTATCCAATATGTTATTGAACGCTTCAATTGTTTGTATCAGCCAAAATCCCCATAGCAACGCACAATCAACAGACGAAACTTTATATAATTAGATAAATAAATGAAGATGGTTTCAGTTTGTTAAACAAAAATATTTTTCCAATAAAAATGGGACTATTTCAAAAGTTAGCGAATTTCTTAGGTGGCAGAAAGAGAGAAGTAAATGTTTTAGTAGTTGGACTAAATAATAGTGGAAAAACCACAGTTGTAAATAAATTTAAAAATGAAGAGGACAGAGTTTCCGATATTGTACCTACAGTTGGATTTTCAGTGGAGAGATTTCAAAGTAAGTTGTAGATTTTTTTATTAGTAAAACACCCCTCAAAAGGTTTCTTCTTAACACTGGCATCTGATCAGAAAAATCAATGAGCAGTTCTGTTTTATCCTACATAAATACTAACAAATACTTAAAACTATAGTGTTGGACCTTCAAACACAGTCTTGGATCAAGACACATACGCAGGTACCTCGCAGTATCTGCAAGTATTGTTTTAGTAGTACTGTTAATAGGCGAGCGGTTTACCCCTATAAGCAGAGCATCAACCTACTAAAATTCTTTTTACATTTCTATTGCACCAAACCTTTTTTATTCGATTCTATATATTTTTCCAAGATTAAATGTATTTTTTTTTTATTTTTACAAGTGGGCCGGCAATTGTTATTAACAAATAACATACAAAAAAGCAATTTCACCGAATTGTTTCGGAATCAATTTTTGTAGGTGTATCTCGTCAAAATAAACACTTTTTCTCTCCTGATAATTTTTCGAAAAATGCTTCCTTTTTAAGTTATTTGCATTTTTTTGTTGAAAAAATGCCTTAATTAGTGATTTTTGGGATTTTTTTTTCTAAAAAACTACTAAATGAATTCAAATTTTACAAATAGCTTTATAATCTTTAAACCGTCTAGTATGTTGGAATATTTTGACAAGGATAAATGGTTTCTATCTCGCTAAAAACGTGGACCCAAATATTTCGAATATGCCTTTCGATAGTATCCCGCTAAGCGTGTAACGGTTGAGGTGCTGTAGGTGCTCGAATCTTTTCGACTTTTTTAATAATGTAATATATATATATATATATATATATATATATATATATATATATATATATATATATATGAAAAATATCTGATAATTGATTAAATGAAATTTTAATTTTATTTAATACTACGTGAGTAAGTAAATACTGGGTTACTTACTAAATATTCTACATTTCACTACAAATTTCTTAGATAATTCTAAATTAGCGCCAACGATATTTGCTCCGTGCGTGACTATGGTAAGGGTACATTGAAAATACATGTAAGGGTGTGCAAATACATGTTGCGTAATTTTTACCTTTAGATGAAGGACATACAGTTTTGACTCTATTTTTATCTAAACTGTATGACCCTCAAAATAAGTTAAAAAAATATCATGAATCCATAAATGAATTAAGATATAATATTGCATTAAAAAAATGCATCTAATGAAAAATTACCACCTTCGAAACCAGCATTATTACAACATTACTTAAGAGCAAAGTGGCAAATAAATGAATGGATTCAAGCAAAAACAATATTATTTCATATCTTGATCCATTAACCCATGGTTGGACAATGGAAAATAATTGTTTCGATTTTAGTTATTTTGAAGGCGAAACTAGTTTAGATATTTTACAAAAGTATTTCTGCTCATGTACCGGAAAATGTTCTACGAAAAATTGTAATTGTATTTCCTATAATTTAGAATGCTGCGCAGTATGTACATGTACACCAGAGAATTGTAAAAATGTTAAAGACGACTTTATTGAAGACAATGAAATCAGCTTATTAGATGGAAATCCTGTTGCTGTTGACGAAAATTTTCAAATTATTGACAATGAAAACGATGTATAAATAATATTATATTTTTATTTTATTATATTTTTCAATGAAAATTGATTATATATTGCTTAATGTATTTCACTGTAATAAAACATTCAATAATAGAGTCACCACGTATATTAAAAGATAAATTACATTATTATAGCATTGTAAAAAATTAATTTTAATTGTTTTAATTATAATATGTCTATATAAAAATAATTATAAATATCTTTTTTTTAATAAATTGTACGTAATATTTGTAGTAAATTAATTTTTTAAATCTAAACAAATATTTCTACGCACCGCACGCCTGTATCGCCGCAACCGCTGTACACACTTAGCGGTAGACTGCTCGAAAGGCATATTCGAAATATTTGGGTCCACGTTTTTAGCAAGATAGAAAAAAATTATCCTTGTCAAAATATTCTAACTTGTACTCGACGGTTTAAAGATTATAAAGCTATTTGTAGAATTGCAATTCATTTAGTAGTTTTTTAGAAAAAAAATCCCAAAAATCACTATTTAAGGCATTTTTTCAACAAAAAAATGCAAATAACTCGAAAAGGAAGCATTTTTCGAAAAATTATCAAGAGAGAAAAAGTGTTTATTTTGATGAGATACACCTAAAAAAATTGATTCCGAAGTAATTAGGTGAAATTGCTTTTGTGTATAAGTTATTTGTTAATAACAATTGCCGGCCCGCTTATAAAAATTAAAAAAAATACAATTCATGTTGGAAAAATATATAGAATCGAATAAAAAAGGTTTGGTACATTAGAAATGCAAAAAAAAAATAGTAGGTATATTCTGTTTCTAAGCGTCTTTTGAGGGGTAAACTGCTCGCCTTTAATAATGTACCTGGTCTATCAAACCAAACTGATGTGTCGGAATCATTCTTTTATTTTCGTTGATGACCTTAAGTCTTTTCATTAGGATCTTTTCATATAATTTTGAAAGTACAGGCAATAATGAAATAGGCCTGTAGGACAAGACCTCATTCGATGCCTTTCCTGGTTTGTCTTCTTCTTCTTTTAGTACCCTGTCCGATTATCGAACGTTGGCTATTATATTGGCAATAATAATTTTGTTTACGGCTACTCAAAATAGATTAGCGGATGTCTTTTAATACCATTCTCGGAGATTTCGGAGCCAAGATGTTTTTCTTCGGCCTGGACCTCTTCTTCCGGCAATCTTGCCCTGTATTATGAGGCGTAGAAGGTTATATCTCTCTGGATGTCTCATTACATGGCCGAAATATTGTAATTTTCGAATTTTTATTGTTTTTGTTATTTCTGTGCTATTTTTTCATTCGGTGTAAAAACATTGACTTGGCTTGTCACTCATTATAAATTCTACTACTGTCCACGTTTTGAGAACATACTTCAGTCGAAATGATGCTTTAAATAGGTATGTAAGCTCAGTGATGGCTTTCTTCGGTAAGTGTTTTAATATTTCACATGTTATAAGAGAGCTTTTTTTGGATCGATATTCTCTTTTATTTCCTTGTCAATTTTTTTAGTATTAGTAGGTTTAATTTCTAATAAATCTGGTTTAAATCTATTCATGTTGACCACGTCATTGGTTGTAACATGTTTTCGAGATGCTGTACAAAGTGATTGGATTTTTAAACATTGGTTCGGGACAAGCTTCCATAAGCGTTTTTAATTAGTGGGTTATGTAGTACAGGTCTTTTGAGCCGTAAGGTATGTCCTAATCGATTCAATCTTGATTCGTTGTATTTCTCGCTTGAGATGTTGTGACGCATTATTTAAACTAGCATGTTGCTTCTGTCCTAATAGAAATGATTGGAGTACTGTTCCATGCTGCTTCTTGAATCTCTTTGGCGAACAATCCAACTTAATCTAACTGATATTTAGTTTTCAAGGGACTAAAATATTAACTGAGTTTTCTAATTCAGTTCTGAAGTTCTGCCAATCTGTTCTTGTATTGACCAGCCTTGAGGAATCTCTTTCCGTATTATTTGATTACTACTAAGTAATTAGGGTCAATATTCTAGATTATGAACAATCAATCAGATCAGGTATTTTATTCTGATCTATTGGCTTTTCAATGCAAGTTGGCTTTTGCGAGCTCTCTTCCTTTCGCGGTCTCTAATCTTGATCCCCATTTAGAATGCTTCGTAAGTTGTAGATAAATAAATAAATATTTCATTCTGATTGCAGGTCAACAATTTAACATTTTGTTTGCATTTTAAATTGGATACAGATTCAAAGGTGGTGTGATAATAATCTAGATAAAATACTTTTTCGATTTCTATCTCCTCAAATCATTTTCGAGATGTTTCAGAAATGACCTCATCTTTCGTTTCAAAACGGCGTCCCTTGTATATATATTTTTTTTAAGTTTGGAAAATAGTTCCACAGGAATAAATCTGGCAAATGCGGTGGACGACCCGGTGGCCGAATGTTTCCTATCTCGATTAATATAGTATTACCTGTGCAGTAGTCGCCTGGTGGTCGATAACTTGTCTTCGTAAAAGATAAACCATTTCGTTTTTTCCCAAAAACTACATCGAGGGAGTCCCATAAAGCTACCATAGTATGCCTACGCCAATCGACAGACATATCTTGCTGGTACTATGAGGACCACCTCATATTACCATGAACCCAGTTCAAAATTTTAAAATTTCTTAGAGAGAAGAATTAAAAGAAATTAGGTTTATTATTAAATCTTGGGATAATATTAGCCTCGAGGCTTGTTTGGAATTAGCAGATATAACGCATAAGCAAGACATCGGTAACTACCTTAATGGTAGTAAGACATACTTATGAATAAAAAAATGGAACTTAAAATTAGACGTGTTAAATTGGGTTTATAACATGGTGGTAAAACCAATAGTAACATATTCACCAGTGATATAGTGACCAAAGGTACAGCAAAAAGTACCACTCTCTGCTTTGAGCTCTGAGGAGCACATGAACAGCAATTACGGAGCTCCTACTGGACCTACCTCCTCTGCACATCATTGAGGGGTGGGCGAGAATGGGATTTTATGAAAAGGGGAAAACCTGAACAATCTAATAGTTATATCAGGAGACCTGATCAAACACAGATGTCTTTGCCTTCTTCAGCGGACCATTGCCGTTTTTTCACTGTTTTGACTGTTCCTTCATTTCCGGTATGTAAAATGTTCCAGGTTTCTGTTTCTGGTTAACATTGAGCAAATGAGTCTTATCCTGTAGATAGTTCTTTCGTATAAAAATGCTCTATACGAAGCTCTGTTGCCCTGTTAAATGTCTGTGCTATCTTACGAATTCTGATTCTACAGTCTGGCATCGAATAATGATGGTTTTTGGGGCACGCTTATGTTCAGTTATAAACATATTCTAAGAAATAAAAAATTTAGATTTTCAAAAATTCCTTCGACCAGTTCGGGTTCATAAATACTGTTGATGCAAGGGAGGCTTTTTTCAGTACAATTCTTATTCCAGAGATACAGAAACATTAATTGTGATGTACATTCATGTCGAGCTGATTAACAGAAAGCGTTTGATCGAGTACAGCACGTTAAGATGATGAAAATACTAAAAGAAGTAGGAATTAAGAACCAAGATTTGAAAATAATTTGAAACCTTTAACTGGAATCAGACCGCAAATCTCAGAATTAAAGGTTAACACACCAATTACTTATATCTTCACTACATACCTTGGACAAAACCGATATGACACATCATTAAAATTACGTGGATTATCATCAAAAAGCTTAGCTGTAGCCTCACTAAGACCGGACAACCCCATAAAGTAACACTAAACCAAGTTTCTCACCATCTATTACCAAACGGAAAGCTCAGCTTAACACCAGAGAAACCAAAATAGTTGGAAGTCTCCGATTTAAAAGGCATTGCGTTGAGACATCGTTCACAATTAAAGAATAATCCATTTATTGAATAATGGCAAGACAGCAGGCGTGGATGATATCTGTGTGAAACAGTCTAATCCTAAATCGCATATGGCATCTTCTTTTTCTCAGGCTATGCCCATGGTGCCATTTGGCGTTATTTGCATATTGTATATGTTATGTCCCGCAAGAGATGGTTCTGAAATAAAGTTGTGTCCAGTGGATACCTGACGTTCCACTGCTTGCAAAGTCATGTGTACGTGAGACGACCATATTTACAGTCAACCAAATATAGCTGAAAGTGTGAAATTCCCGTTGCCTACGCTAACAATGAAGTGAGAACGCACATACAAACGGTGTTTGGACCGTCAGTGCGAGTGCGAGGTCCTTCGTTTGACGAATGCGCATCATGATCGTCAAGCGTTTTCACACTTTCAGCTATATTTGGCGAACTATACCATTGATTTAAATGGACATATCTGTTGGGACGGCATAGAACGTGACTTTATTATGAATGGCACGGGAAAATTATCCTTGTAAAAAATATGACACAAAATATCGATGTTTATAAATACTTCATATCTTTTTTCGATAATTAATAAATTTATATATGAAACCGTTAATTATACTTATAGAATGTATATTATTGTGGAAAACTTAATTCAAAAGCAAATTTTCTATATCCCTTAATTGTTTTTCTTAGAGAATGTGAATAAGCTGCCCTTTTTTCCGTTACATCAACAAATAAATTAGCCTTATTGTAGTCGATTATTGTAGACTATTTGAGCCTAGGACCATCTCTATGATGTTTTTTTTTTTTAGTTCATCTATATGTTTTGTGGATAAGAAAAGGACTTCCCTCTTATCACGCCCCTTCATAACAACAATGATATTTTTGTTCTCTTTTGCAACAATTTCTAATTTCTTCATTCCTGGATACAGCTTTATAAAAAATAATGACAGAAATAACAAAATTCTTTATTATGCAATCTTTTACAATTTTTTTTTCAATTTCTGCCTGGCGTTTAAAGTGTTAAGAAATATGTTATAAATAAATAAAGACAATCTCTACAAATATATAGGCTTTCTTGTATAGCTCAGTTATAATGAAATATAGTACATGTATCGTAGTTTTAATAGTTAAAATTTACTTTCCAGACAAAAACCTCTCCTTTACAGCCTTCGACATGTCTGGTCATGGGCGATACAGAGACCTTTGGGAGCACTACTACAAGGACTGCCATGGAATAATATTTGTGATAGACAGCAGCGACCGTTTAAGACTGGTAGTTGTAAAAGAAGAATTAGACTTATTGCTTCAACATCCAGATATTTGTAATAAAAAAATTCCAATATTGTTTTTTGCCAATAAAATGGATAATAAGGAAGCTTTAAGTAGTGTCAAAATAGCTTCAGGTTTAGGACTTGACAAGATCATGGACAAGCCTTGGCATATTTCTTCTAGCAATGCACTGACCGGAGAGGGCTTGCAAGAAGGAGTAGAATGGTTAACACAACAAATTAGGGATATGATTATGGCCAAAACTTAAATAGCTTTTCAACTAAATTTAAAATTTGTATTGTATATATAAAGTAAAAAAAATAAGAATGTACTTGGTGACTTGTTTGGAAAAAACAATAATATTTAGTTTGAGTGGTTTTAAAAGGGCTGTGTATTTATAACGATTTTGGTCAAAAGTTAAATCTTTCTGACCATTAATTTGTCAGATGTAGTCGGGGAAACATTTATTTTCGTCTTAGTATTTTTAGCAGTCCTTGATGTTCTTTACCTTGCATCTACGTAGTATATCTGTACTTCTAGCTCTGTCCCATAGTGTTACCATTAATTTTTTTTAAGTGGTTTCATATCTTCTGTTTCTAACATCCCTTTTTGTCCTCTCTGTGTCAGGTCGTGTTTCTGCCTCGTATGTCATTATTGCTTGGATGACTGTTTTGTAAATTCTGCTTTTTATTTTTAGATATTGTTTTATTCAGGCAACCTGCGACTCTGTTTGATCTATTCACTTGATCTTCCACTTCTGTTTCGAGCTGTCCATAGCTGGATAATGTATTGTCTAATTATTTAAACTCCATCACTATGTCGTGAATTTAATGAAGCACAGACTAGCTAAACGTAACTATTTATTTACTTATAATAAAACGGTTACATATAATTCAATTGATCATAGCAGCGTGGACATTCGGAGCTGCTCATCGACTGTTCCGATGCAGGGTTAATATGTAATATCTCCTCCCTCAAGCTTAATGGGAGCTTTTACTAATCTGCCGGAGAGCGTTCTAATATTGCAATCCGTGAATGTTTCATCTCTAGGTAGAGATGGGCTTGTTCCTTCTTGTGATGAACTTGGGATGGGCTTCTTTGGTTCTAATTGAACCAAGCCGTGTCTCGAATTTGGATTCACTGTGGGTTCAATTGTAACACTGTCGCATTACCACACACTATAGGAGTTTCTGACTTGAGTGTGACTGAGTCTCGTCAGAATCTAGGATTCTATCATCACCTCTGTCTTTTCTCATATCATAAACAAATTATTTATTAATCTCCTCTCTCTTAATAGTCAACAGGGCCATTTCCAAATTTTTTTTTACTATTTAAACACTACTCTGCGCAGCACCATTTCTTTGAGGGTGATATGGAAGGGTCTTCACTAGTTTTATTCCATTTGCTCTTAAAATCTATAAAACCTGCATTTACTTCTGATTTGTATCTAGACATCTTTGTCAGCATGTTTAAAGCGAAGAGAGCTTCCCGAGTATCTAGCCTTTTTCTGAGTATTGCTAATGTCGATTTTCAACTTGTGATAAATTCGGTTGTGAATGATTATTAGAAATATTTTTAGCATCTGGCATTAGTAAAACTGATGTTTCCTTTGTATTAGCTTTCCTTAGTAGTGTAACCAATGAAGAAAGGCAACCATTCTTGAAATATAATTGTTGTGTTATAATTATATTGTGTTGAATTTGTATGTATTCTACTTATTGATTTATCATGCATTACCTTTAATAATTCAGTGGTATCCCCGTCAGGCTCAAGTGTTTGTCCGGTTTTGTAATTTTTAATTGCTAGTTCTACTTCTTCTTTTAGGATTTTGGGCTCCGTGTCACCATTTAATTGGGCAATGTTGTTTCTACTGTCTTCAAATAATTCGATTATCTATTCACTGCATCTCTCAATTACCTGTCAGGTCTATAATAATCTTTCCTTCATTGTTTGTAAGCAATCCTATTTGAAGATGACTGTACTTTGAGCTTTTGGTTGTGCTTTACAACAGAGTAAATTTATTTTGTTATCTTTTACGACCCAAATCAGATTTTGAATTCAGTTCCAACCTAAAGAGTTAATTCGAGTCGATTCCAGTGCCTTTAATATCGCCTGGCTATCCTTTTTGCGAGCTTTCAATAATTTTTTTGACTGTTAAACGAGTCTTATTCCATCGTGCTCTAGAGCAAGCTACGATTTAGTTGGCGATTTGATCAGCAGTCGATCTTGATCAGATGATCAGCAGCTACCTTGGGTTGAAGTAAACGGTAGGTGGTAACGTGTGAGTGATCCCAGCTGTCTGTGATGTTGCATCCTAGGTATGTTATTTTTTCTGTTCTATCCAATACCTCATTGTCTGTCATAAACTTTGCATCTGTATCTTGGTTTCTGCTTATGATCATAATTTTCATCTTCTCATTATTAAGTTTCATTCCATATTTTCTGCCGATGTTAACTACTTGATCTATCAGTCTTTGTAATCCTTCAGTCGATCAGTCGTTTCTCCGAAAGCTTCTCGAAATAGATGTTCAGAGTACTCATTAAACAGCCAAGGCGAGAGTATGCAACCTTGTCATACTCCTCTTTGTATTGGGACTTCATCGGATAATTGATTGTCTACTCGAATCTTGGCTACTTGTTTTCTATAGAGATTGGTTATTATTCTTATATCCTTGTTACCAATGTTTGCGATTCGCAAAGTTTCAATAAGCCTCTCATGTTGTACTTTGTCAAATGCCTTTTCGAAGTCAATGAAACAGGCAAAGACATCTGCATTAACATCTCTTGCTCGTTGTATCAATACTTATATGCTAAAAAGTGCTTCTCTTGTACCAAGACCGCTGCGAAATGCAAATTGTAGATCAGCAATACCCTCCTCCAATTTCTTGTATATGCGAGCATGGATGACGTTTAAGAATATTTTGAGTGAGTGGTTCATGAGGCTAATGATTCGGTGTTCTTCACATTTCTTAGTATTTGCTTTTTTTTGTAATGGTATAAATCTGGACATGTACCAATCTTTTGGTAAAGTTAGTCTTTCATATATACGTTTAAATAATTCTGTCATAATGTCAAGTTGATTGTCTTCTATCAATTTCAATACGTCAGCATATATTCCATCAGGTCGTGGCGCTTTGTTGTTTTTTAGAGGACTTATAGCAGATCTTATGATTTTGTTATTGTTGGTCCATTCTCGACGTTGTCATATACTTCAATGTGTTGGTTGTCACTGAACAGTTCTGCTATATATTCCTGCCATCTGTCCAGTTTTTCTTGCGTATTAAATAGTATGTTTTCATATTTATCAAACAGTGCAGTGGGCATTGTTGTTCTATATATTCCTGCAATTTTTTTGATCTTCCTGTGCATATTGAATGTATGTTTTTTTCTGTAGGATCTCTATTTCTAAGCATTTTTTTAACAGCCAGGATTCTTTTGCTAATTTTATTTCTTAAAGTACCTTTTTGTGGTGTTCCTTGTACTTTTCTGTGTCTTTATTCTCAAACTCTCTTCTTTGCTCCATAAGCTCTAAAATCTGATATCATCCATGGTTGTTTTATTTGTCTTTCCTGTTTGATGTTCTTTATTGTTGTTGTTACTAATACACATGATATGACCAGTCTGATGAATCTACTGCAGTTATTAGGCACAGACTGGAGAGATGAATCTAATGCTAGTATCTAGGTCTCCTGAGAATTTTTGACACTCACCTTTAGAAAAGTTCCATTCAGGAAAACGTGAACTCTGATGTTGGCCAAAAGATAAAAATTGTTTACCTTTTTTAAGATCTGTTGATTTTGTTCTAAGTTCTATTGGATTTTGGCTGTGTGATGGGAAATTGGGAAGTCAAGTGAGAAATTCTTGTACAATAAATATAAAAAAGACAATGTTTTTCAAACGTGTACTTTATTTTATAATTATTAGTTAATTTAATTTTTATGTTAATTAAATAATAAATAAATACATGATACATTCATAATATTGTATTTTAATTATATTTAATCTGATATTTTCTCCATAATCTAATAGGAGAGTAGAAATGTATTATAAATAATTACAAAACATACTTTATATTCTTTCTTTATATCAAAATATAACACGGGTGATTATTCTATGTTTAACTATACACATATTCTAGCTAGAACCGAACGTATTTGTCCTATATTATGCATGTAAAAAAACTATACAATTTTTTAGAATTTATATCAGAGCAAATATTTGTTTGTGTAAATTATTAAGAAAGAAGGATATGCAAAACGACCACAAAATTTTTATTTCGTGACAGAAATCTATAGATAACATCAACAATATTTATATCACGTGAGAGAAAAGCTTTTTTAGGATGAACCTTATTAGCTTAGTAACCTATCCAACAAGAATCTTCTTCTTATAGTGTACTGCCGTGCACCTATAGTGCGTTAACGAATTATCTTAAGGCCAGACGTCTGTCTTTTGCGGCATGCAAAAGATCGCCAGTGTTATTTATGTCTGTCCAGTTCTTTATGTTTCGTAGCCACATTTGTTTGCGACCTACTCCTCTCTTCTAAACAAGAATCTTCTTCTTCTTAGCCTTCTGTCGTCCATGTTTGGACATAGGCTATTTCCAATCTGTTCCGGCTATTCTTTTAATGTCATCAACCCATCTCATCTGTGGTCTTCCTCTAGGTCGTTTACTTTCGTAAGGTCTCCAATGTTGTATTGTAGTATTCCAACGTTGGTCTTTCTGTCTGGCAGTGTGGCCTGCGAAGCTCCATTTAAGTTTTGCAATTTTTATTGTTATGTCCTCGACTTTTGTTTTGGATCTTACCCAGTCGTTCCTCTTTTTATCTGACAGTCGTATACCTAACATTGCTCTTTCTGTTGTGGCTAGTTTATTCATGTTTGCCTTGGTTAGGGTCCAGGTTTGACATCCATATGTCATGATAGGAAGGATGCATTGGTTGAACACTTTGCTCTTCAAGTATTGGGGTATTTTGCGGTTCTTAAGAATCTAACTAAGTTTTCCAAATCCTGCCCATGCTAGTCTTGCTCTTCTAGTAATTTCCGCACTTTGGTTCTCTTTGTCAAGTCTCAGGATTTGGCCTAGGTATATATATTCCTGGATTGTTAATGTCTTGCTTGTTTTCAAGTACTCGGCAATTATACCGTCGTGTCCTGGAGCTTTTTATTTTTTAGTTCTTTTAAAGCTCTTTCTATTTCGTATCCCTTTATATTTGGTAGTACTTCTGATCCCACGTTTTTTATTTTTCTTTTGACGTTCTCCTTTGTTGTTTCATTAGGCTGGCCTTGCGAGCTGTACAAGGATGTGTAGAAGTCTTCGACAATATTTGTTATTTTATATTTGTCCTTCTCTACCTTATTGTTAGCGTCTTTAATTTTGATGATTTTTTGAACTCCCAGTGCGGGTCTTAGACATTTTAAGCCTCTGTTGTTTTCAATGACTCGCTCTATTAAGTTCTCGTTCCATTTTTGTATGTCGCGTTTTAGGCCTACTTCCTGTGGGGGAGACCACCCCCACAGGAAGAAGGCCCTTAGGACGTCCACGAATGCGATGGAGAGACAATATATGGTCAGATCTAAGAACAATGGGACTACCCACTGACCCAACTATTATGGACGACCGCTCAAGATGAAAGCAAGTTGTGCAGTCAGCCAAGACCCACTCCGGGAAGTAGTGCTACAAGAAGTAGAAGAAGAAGTGTGTTCCGAATTCGCCCGGGGATTAATGTATCCAAAATTGCAACAGATAGACTAAAACTGATGACGACTTGTAGTCAGAATAAAAAGTAATGCAGTTCACATTTCAGGTTTTGAGGAAACTAAAAAACGCATAAGACATTGTTATGAGGCTTCATATAACTTGATAAACTTCTGTAAAAGTGATCATCTCTTTTACACTTGACAATTATTTGCACTGAAATCATATTGTGTAAATATCAAAAGAAAATATTCAAGTCTATTGACAGCAATGTGTTGAAGCTCAATATATCAGACTAGTGTTGTCGTCTTACAATTGCGGCAATATTTATTTTACTACTTTTACGTTTACAGACAATGATGGTTCAATCGATAAAAATAAGATTTACTATATTACATTGATAGCCACAAATGGAAAGTTTATAGTTTAGAATTTAAAAATGATCAAGCGCATATTTTTCACCATAGAGGCAGGCAGCCAAGAGAAAACATGGTTTTCCTATGGCCTATTGTGTTTAATGTTTCATATTCTAATTTTTCTCGTTTTAATAGGCTACCTGAGTGTTGCTCTGATACAAACTAGTATGTGTTTGTCATACTGTATTCCACCAGAATACTCAGTAGGGAATCCCCCAGTATTCCCAACCACAATCATAATTAATTTGATTGATAATACTTTAAGTACTAGATTGAGGGGAGTACTTCAACAACTCACAGGTATCAGTTAAGTTAGAAGTAACCGCTTGATGTAATCGTTCTACAGAACATAATGTGTTTTGTGATTTTCAAGAAATGGTGCCGCTTTATTGTGCATCTGATGTAAATGTTTTTACCAGACCGTATTCTCCAGATTTAACCCCGTGTGATTAAAGAAGTTACAGCATCGCTGGATCAAGTGTATCGACCTAAAATGAACCTATGTTGAGAAATAAATCGTCACTTTTCCAAAATTTTCGTTTTTCTTTTATAGGCTAAGTACTTATCAGACCGTCCTCGTATTAATGAAAAAACTTTATTTATTACAGGTATAAACTGTAACCGTATCTCAATACGGTATACAGTTGTTTTTCTTTCTGTTAGTAGTATGACTGAAAAGAGAATCATATAAGATTCCTCTACAAAAAAACTTCATAATATGTCATATGTCAAATATAAAACACCTTGCTTGTTACGCAACAGATACTAATTTATTTGTAACTTTATTGATATTAATGTACAATTTCTACAATTTACGATAAACTAAAGTATGTCTTCAATAAGTGTGATTTACTTTAACTTTATGTTATTGAAATCTGTTCTAAGAAAACTATGCCACCAATAGTCAATAATCGGTGAACTAATAGTAGTACTAGAACTCCATTAAAATTTGTATGGAAATATTAGTCGAAACCCTATAGTCAAAATGTATTTCCAATATAGGAAATAGAGTAATTATCAAGGAAAGTAGACTTTCATAGCCGATCTTGTTTATAGGCGATGACTGAGGAGAGATTTTGTATTTTGTAGTGCTCAGCTACATATCCTATTTAGATGCAGACACTATTTTTTACGATTAAGTGTTTTTGGACTCTGGTACTTCTCTGAACATACCTGAATATTAAGGTAGTGTTTAAATAAGCGCTTATGTCTCTTCAAAAGAAAATTTAGTGGTTTTATCTTTGAGAGAAGCTAATAATATTTTAATAATATGTAGGATATGGAGCTAAGCGCTATGAAATTCAAAATATTTCCATAGATGCACCAAAAACTGCAATACCGATGAAATATAATATTGTCTGCAGGAAATCTAGTTAAAATTAGGGAAGAAAGGAGTTATAAACAAGGAAGATAACCAGTTTATTCGTCTTCCGGGTTTGGACCGTGTCATTTGTGAGTGACACCCTAGGACGACAAATTCAGAATCTTCGGGTAATACTCCTGTGGCTTTTCTTCCGTATATTCGAAGTGTCAAGATAGGATTGGCAAAATTCTTCGCAAAGAAGGTATCAGGACTACTTTTCGACCACCCAAGAAAATCTCACAATATCTACCCTCTCCTAAGGACCCATTACCGCCCCTATCTTCCTGTGGTGTCTATTCTATTCCTTGTTCATGTGGACATGTGTATATTGGCGAAACCGGTCGTTCCGTCAAAACTCGGATTCAAGAGCATCAAAGATGCACTCGATCAGGTCTTTTCTCCCATTCTGCAGTTGCAGAACACTGCCAAGAAACCGGTCATTCCATATTGTTCGAAAAAACCCATATTATTTCTAAGAGCCCCTTCTTTTATTCCAGGAAAATCCGCGAATCTCTAGAGATCCGAAAAAATCCACATAATATCAATCGAGAGGAAGGATACTATTTGTCTTCCATCTGGAATCTCAGTCTAGAGCCGCCGTCCGGTCCCGCTACCACGATGCAGCCACATGATTGGCCAGCGCGCGCTTCGTGACGTTCGCGCCACGGAGTGTGCCGATACGTCCCGACACGACTGGTCACTGCGACTATAAATAGAGCGGTAGCGGAGTAATCGTCGGATTCACTCCCCGCCTCTCGACGCGTTAGTGTTCTGAGCTGTTGGACGTGAATCCCTGTCCTGGCATTTGGTTTTCACCTCTGGCTGCGTTAAGTAGTTAAGTTACTGTGACCAAATGCCCATCTTGGTACTTAGTATTCGCCTCTGGTTGCGTTGAGTAACTGAGTTACCGTTGCTAACTACCCATCTTCCTGTCTTTTGATTTCTTTTTCTTTGTTCTCCTGAAGAAGCTACATACAATTGTAGCGAAACGTCGAGATGAACCCACTTTTGGGTCACTCACAAATGACACGGTCCAAACCCGGAAGACGAATAAACTATAATTCTGACTCTGGCCGTGGAAGCCTACGATTTCATTTGAAGGAAGATAACCGTTTAGGATTACACACCAATTATCATTAATATAGATTCCACAGAGTTGAATAATCACCTTTCAGGCGCGACTTTTAATAAACAAAGAAGTATTTCCCTCTAAATCAATTATTAAGGACGGATATAGAGTGTAGGTGTCAAGCTACAGACCCAGAAATATACGGAAGCCCAGTTATAAACTCTTTAATGGAAACATCCCAACCATCTGATTTAATCGGCAGGGCTTAGCACAGTTTTCCATTCAACTTACCTTAAACGCTCAGAGAATTTACTGTCGATCAACTGAGAATTCGCAGAGAGTAGCTAACTAAGAAGGTGCAGATATCCTGCTGCAAGGAAGATGTGACAGAAGCAATAGGCTCGGTAATGGGTATATATATATATATATATATATATATATATATATATATATATATATATATATATATATACAGTGTTTTATTCTGCTTTAAATATGAGAATGAATTACTCATATATAGATACTAATTTTATATTTATAAATATGTATATTCTAAAGTTTCGCAAGACTAAAAGAAAATTTTAAAACCCACGATTTCTTCATCATCAATTTCCAAAATTAAACACACCTCGTATAAAAGAGCGAAACTAAAAATATATAAACCCTTTAACGATAATATCCTCTTTGTCATTGAACCTCTACGACGCTATCATTTTCCATTTGGGCATGACCACTTTCTTGTTGATCATTTCCATTGTCTTCCTTTTTCTCGTACGAAGGTGGGGCCACTATTGGAATAGCTGCTTTCGGACGCTTTAGATGAACCTGTCGTTGTTGAGCAAGTTGTTGATCCGCCGAGTAATAAGTTATACCTCCTTGTGGTTGATATAATTCGGTTGTGGGAGTCTAGAAAATATATATAACATTTACATACACGGTTGGAAGCGCAAGAAATGAATGCACAGCAAATACGTTTTGCAACGAAGCAAATGTTGAATACCCTATATGAGCCCCTTCCCACATAAATTTTATTTATTTTATACAAATCTTTTTTGACGGAAAATCGATAGTGAAGTACTTAATTTCATCGACTATAAACTATAACAACCAACGTTATTTAACATTATAAGATAAAGTAACGTTAAACTTACCACATTATTAAATGGTTGCTGATATCCCTGAAAGTTTGGTGGAAAAGTCGGCTGACTTTGCACAAAGTTTATAAGTTGTGTATTCGGCGGTCCTGGTATAAATGGCGGACCGGTTACAGGTCCCGGTTGAATGAAGGCAGGTGGAGGCGGAGCGTAAGCTTGGGGCGCAAAAGTTGCGGCTTGCAGCAGAGGAGCAGCTGTTACAGGAACTTGCTGTGGTAAAGCTGCAGGCTGAAGAGACGAAACGTGAGCTACTTGAGATGTAGATGATAATATTGGGGCGTTTTGATGGATAATCGGCTGAGTTGGAGATGGGACGGACTGTTGATTGTATTCTAAAAAATAAGTTTATAAGTATACATAACAAACTTGTTTCAAACATCAATCAACTTTTAAATTTGTTTACTAGAACTTTTCTTTTTTACTTATAAGAACAAAGTTAAAAACTAAAATACAGCAAACTGGAATAATTTCACTGGTTGGGGATTTGGCATTGGAGGATTTGGTTTCTTCTTTAGATTGTACAACTCAGACATCATAAGGCCATTTACGAACTTTAAGAACCTTTACGAAAGGTGTGGGTTTTTCAATCGATAAACACATTCCATGATATACCTTAAGGCACCATATCCAGAGCAAGCCGTACGAAAACATTTTTTTTATAACCTTTTTTCTATCGGAATTGTCGAATAAAGGCCTCTCCCATTTTTCGCCATTCATCCCTGTTGTGTGCTAGGCGTTTCCACATTGGTCCTGCGACTCTTTTGATATCGTCGCTCCAGCGCATTTGAGGTCTTCCTCTTGGTCTCTTCGCATCGTACGGTCGCCAGTTTCCGACTTCTTTGTTCCATCTACCATCTTCGAGATGTTCGTTGTGTCCAGCCATTTCCATTTTAATTTAGCTGCTTGTTTCGCGGCGTCCTTTATTTTTGTTTTATTCCGGATTGCTTCGTTCGTTTGCCGATCTATTAGTGAGATACCAAGCATCTGTCGTTCCATGGTTCGAGTTTTTCGAATCTTGTTTATGTTCTTTTTTGTGAATGTCCAGGTTTGAGCTCCGTAAGTGAGAACGGGAAGGATACAAGAATCGAACACTTTGGTTCGAAGGTTTTGAGGTATCTTTTTGTCTTTCACTATGTATGAGAGTTTTCCAAATGCGGCCCATCCCATTCTTACTCGTCTGCTTATTTCGGTAGTTTGGTTTTCTTTGTTTACCTTGATATTCTGACCCAGATATATGTATTCTTCTACATGTTCCACTTTTGTTCCTTGGATGGTTATCGTCGGTTGATCATCTTTATTCGACATTAGCTTAGGTTTACTCAGATTCATTTTCAGTCCTTTTTTATGGATTCCGTATGAAGCTCATCGATCATCGTCTTCAGTTCTTTCCAGCTGTCGGCTATTAGTACTACGTCATCTGCATATCTTAGATGTTTTAAATACTTTCCGTTTATCGATAGTCCCTTCGTTACCCAATTTAGTGATTTAAAGATGTCTTCATAGACAAAAACCATATAGATATTTATCTCATATTGGCGACCTTGAAATTTATTTTAGTTTCTTCGAATACACAGATGGCGCTACAGTACCTACATATTTTAAAGAGACATGGCAACTTCACGTCAACGTCAACATTTGTCATTGTCAAGATTCTTGTGTGTTTATTTACTGTTTACAGCGTGGTGGTGTTTATCTTTTGAGGATCTTTTATGTATTTTTATTTAACTCGGTGTGGCATTTATAGTTCTTAATTTATTAATCTATTATGGTGCTTAAGTTTTATAGTGTTAAGTTAAGTTTTAATCTGTATTTGTTCCATTATAGTGTTAAGTTTTAATCTGTATTTGTTAAGGTAAGAATGATCTATTTTAATTGTAGATTTTTAAGTCAATTTTAAGTTAATTTTTTTTATTAATATGTTTGTTTTGTTATTCACTTCAGATGGTTAGATGGTTTATATTTATTTTAATATTTTATTCAATATAGATAATAATAATTTTTACAAAACTTATGTGTGATATGGTGCAAATATACATGTTCAATTTACACTATAAAATTAAATAAATTAATAAATAAAAATTTTTTTTGTTAATTATCAGTTTTATTTATCCTTTTTTTTTTCTAAAAACATTCGAAACATATTTCACACTGAGTGCACATTTATGTGCACTCTATATTTTTAACTGAATAAGAAAACTATAAGAGGCAATAGTGCGGCAACGTTGTATTTAGTTTCTTCGAATTTGTAGATGTCGCCTTTTAGCTTCTAAATGTCATTATTGAGTTCGCCATCTATTTGGTTTTGGTCTATGGATGTCTTCAAGTGCGGCAGTAAATAGTTTTGGAGATATGGTGTCTCCCTGTCTTACTCCTCGGTTGATTTTTATTGGCCTCGTTTTCATTCCGTTATCCATCGTGACTACCATTTCAGCGTGTTGATGTATATTATTTATTAATATCCTATATCTAGTATCTATTCTGCTGTTGACCAGTGCTTCCTCAATAGCCCATAATTCTATGCTGTCAAAAGCTTTCTCGTAGTCTATAAATGCTAAACAGATTGGTAAATTGTATTCGTTAACTTTTTCTATTAGGACCTTTAGTGTGTGAAGATGGTATCATGTACTGAACCCTTTTCTAAATCCGGCTTGCTCTACTGGTTGATATACATCGAACTTTGTTGTCAATCTATTTGTAATTATTTTTGTGAATGTTCTATAAAGTTGTGAATTGGACGATAATTTTTCAGATCTGTATTGTCCCCTTTTTTGTGTATTAATATTGTGTTAGCAGTATTCCATTCCTTTGGTATGTTTCCTTCAAATAGGCATTTATTAAAAAGTATTTTTAGGTACCTGATGTCTTCTTCTCCACCTTCTTTCAACATTTCTGCCAGAATTCCATCACTACCCGGTACTTTATTTCTTTTCATTTCTTTAATTACATTTTCTATTTCTACTTCGCTTATTTCGGGCATTACTTCAGAATTTACGTTTATTTGTCTTTTCAGATTTTGCTTTGAAGAGTCGAGGGGTATGAAAACATATCACCGATCAATTTAAACCAAGTGATTGAACTTAGTAAATAGCACAAATGAAATGTTGATGAAAACTGAACCTTTTCTGTACAAAAATAATCCTACTATTCTATTCTAAGCAACTAACACCTTGTTGGTTTTTTTTTGGCCTGAATAATACTTGTTGTAATTGTTTCATTTTTTTTGGGTTCAGCAATTAAGTGAAGTAAACGACGTTTAACTAATTTAACTCACTTAACTACAAAAAAGTCTCTTCTTCTTGTGATCTGCTCAATTATCATACGTTGGCTATCAAATTGGCTATATTAATTACCTGGCAGTTTGGAAAAGGGATGCAGAGGATCTGTTAAACCATTCCCTCAGGTTTTTAAGCCATGACGTTCGTCTTCGACCTGGCCCTCTCCTTTCATCTATCTTGCCTTGTATTATTAAATAAAGTATATTATATTTCTCTGTTATACATAATTTTATAAAGTATTATAATTATAAAATATTCCAGATTGCGATTTTTGACTGTCCTGATCGCTTAAAAAAATTAAATCAAAGGACGCCGCAGCTGTTTTTATACACGTACATCTGTTCTAGAGATCAGCGAAGGCACAAACGCCGAATCAGCGCTATCAATACGAGATTCCAAAAAAATATCGCCAGTAAAGCATTGATAGAACGTCAGGTAGAATTTTCGAGATAAAAAGAGCTGAACTTCGGGTATTAGAGGACTGTAATTACAGTCATATAACAATATACTTTGATAAAATTAAAGGCAGATATCGAGCACAATTTTATTAATTAAATCTTACTTAGATATATATGACAATAGTACTTATCTCAAGTACTTTCGCTTTCTAAAGCATCATCAGGGGCATTTCGTCAGTTTTGGGCTATCCAACAAGCGCAGAATGTAATAAACATAACATTAAACATAAAATTGTACAAACACTACACTAAACAAGGGCAGTTTAAAATTATTTAAAAATTAGTTGAAGCTAATTTCAGTTGAAGCAGTTTCATTCATTGGAATTGCCGGGAATCTCACTTCATCTCAATTTACAATTAAAAGTAGGATCAGTTGTCAGTATTCGCTCCGTGCGTGACCATGGTAGGGGTACATTGAAACGATGCCAGCGTGCGTAGCGGCGAAATATGACAAAATTGGAATATTGGACAAAATATTTTTACGCATAAGTTTTATCAAAAATGTGTGCAAATACATGTTGCGTATTTAATTCTGGTAATAATAGCAAAAACAGTGAGTGTAGTTTTTATAGGTTCCCAAAGATTACATATAAATTGGGGAAAAGAAAAAGATGAATTCGTGCTATTAATATTAAAAGTAAATATCACATAATTTCATTTTTATGCAATTGAAATAGGAAAAATTTAAATAATTTACCTTGAATGATATTTCATAAGGCTTCAATCTAACTGCAGATGACTTTAGCTTTTATATCATAACTTTTACTATTATTGTTTTTAATTATATGCTCTTTTGCGTGAAAAACTTGATTTGCCAGTACTAGATTTTTCCCTTTCTTTTCCGTTTGGAGTTGAAAAGATATATTATGATGAATTTTGAGAAACTCAGTTTTTAATACTACATTTATTTTGTACATAAACTGAAAAAATATAGTTAAAAAACTAATTTATTAATAATTGTCAATTTCGCATGTATTTAACAATGTCAAACATATTATGTCATATATTTAACCTGAAAGTTGGGACTCCAAAATTTTCAGATGAAGGCGGTAGGTGTCGCATCAGTCACGCACGGAGCGAATACTGCGTAACATTAATCAATTTGGACTGTGCAATGGAAGGAGACTGATTGTGAAAAGCTAATGAATGACACTGAGGCACAACGATCATCAAAGGAAAATACAAAGGATATGATGTCTTGATCCCGCATATAACGATGATTCCAACGGACTTACCATTTGATTTAAGGATCTACAAATCACAAGGCCAATCGTTGGAAGTTTGGGGAATCAACTTGGAGTTTCCTCGTTTCACGCATGAACAGTCAAGTGTATTTACGAACATAAAAAAATACCAAACATATTGTTTATCGAAAAGCATTACATTGATTTAACTTTTTTGAGCATTTTATTTGGTTATCTCTGCTAAATTTTAGTTATTGAACTTTGACACATTATTTAATTCTAAGGAGGTACTTAAGTCAGTTAGTACTTAACTAAAACAAAGAAAGGAAAATCTTACCACTAGCATAAAATGTAGGTGGGTGTTGGTAATTTGTAAGCGGTGGCGTATTAGTTTCTGGCAAACTCTTTTGTCGGATTGAACTATATCTTTTAGATCCTTTCTGTTCAGCTTGTAATCTTGGTGGTACACTACTCTGCCGTTGATTATTCGCATTATTATTGAAACTACTCTTACTCATACCAGACTTATTTCCGTTACCTTCATCAATATTCAGTTTACTCATGTCTTTTTCTAAATCCTAAAAAATAATTAATAACTAAACGTTGAACAAATATCGAAATATGCAAAAATTAAACAAAAAAAAAAAAATGTAATGTAGAAAACACAATAATTTGGAAAGTACTACAAATAGAACTAACTAGAGGTAGGTAAGATATATCTATATTCTTTGGTATGATGTTGCTTAACGACCTGGTCGTACTACGACTTGCGACTTTACTTCTTTTCTATACATTTGGAATCTATTAGTTCCTTCACCTTTGTTCCTTGAGTTATTAGAAAGCACTATATAGTAGACCTTAAAACTCATGCTACATTTCTACAGTTATAGTCAGGTCAGCACCCTACTGGTAGAATATAAATCCATACAGGTCACAAAAATAGGATTATGACTTGGAACAAGAAATATCCAACATATCATTATGATACCAGCGGAATTTAACAATTCTAAATGTTTTCTGCATCAATTGATCTATAAACCAAGAAACCAACAGCAATGTTTACTAATATATTTATATTACAGATTAGAGTTGGTACAATATGTTGAACACTATATACACAATGAGCAATTGGTCAACAGGATTTCTAAATAGGTACAATCACAATAAAATTCGAAATTGTACACGATATTCCTTCAAATCACTAGACTCTACATTGACCAACACCATATCAACCAATTAAAACTCAATAATTCAAATATAATAATCTTGAAACCACCAAAGCTTCTGAAAAATCCAATGAAAAAACAAAAAAATTTAAGACAAATTAAATACTTACGTTATTTTTATTAGAAGTATAAAAATTCTGCGACTGAATAAAGTCATCCTTGGAACGACTTTTAGCGGGCAATATCTTTTGTGGTGTTGATTTCCTATTTCTGGCATTCCTAGATTTTGTGGTAAATCCGTTATACTCAGCTTCATTGAATTCCTTTATACTACCACTGATACGACCTGATCCTACTCTAGATTTGTTGCCCTTATTGTTATAATTGTCTTGAGAACTAGAATTATTTAAGGAGTTTTCAGCTCGGGGTTGTTGATATGCCCTATCCACAGGAGGCTCGTTTCTGAAATAAAATTGTAGGTCTAAATTTGTGTTATAAAATTGCGTTAATATCATTTGCAGTTATCATAATAGGATCGTATTCAATGGTCAAAAAATAAGCAGAATGTGTATTACCACTTCGATTCAGAATAACTTCTTGGAAGAAGATTGTCATATCTCAAAAAAATGAATAATGGACTATGTTGGTGTTTATGCCTATGGGCGTTAGATGGTAGGAGTGCCGTTATGGTTAAATATTGTTAATCGAAACGTTGGTTCGACATTTTGCACAGTACTGTCATATTTTGAGATATGCCATCCCTTTTTAAAGACACAATAAGATAATAAAATAATTTCTGTGAAGAATAATGCATTATTTTGATTTGTGTCAGTATTTTAAAGCAGTTGAAGTTATGTTTAAAAGGAGTTGTAGTATTCTTATTAGTTATGTCAGTATTTTATAAAATTTATTAGAATTTTTTTAATTTTTCAACCAAACTATATACAAATTATTTAGACTTTATCGTTTATTATACCTTTATAATTATCGTTTTTAAACGATCTTAATGTCCTTAAAAAATCTAAAAAAAAAAATTAGTTTTATTTTAGGAGATATCAGAACGCGATAACTGGAACATTGCATAATATACATAATGTGCTATTAAAACACAGACATACTTTCACCTATCCTTATATACTAATAAGGGTTGTTTTTTAAGTTGAAATAAAATAAGTTCATAACATTTTGATTTTAAAAATTATTGTATTTATAGTTTCAATGAAAAGAGTATACAACTATTCGAATTTATTCGCAAGGGGTGGTTTTTATGAGAGTAGAAATTATGTGGTAAAAAATTAAAACAGTAAAGGCATCTAAATTTAATGTCACTGTATAACAAATAGTTCCAAATTGTTTGAATTCGGTTTTTTTTCTAATAAATCCACCGGACAAGTCCAATTGGCATTTCGATTTACCTCGTATATGTTAAAACACCGAAAAATATTCTCAATCTTTTTGCGTCGCTCAGATTGATAATATAAACATTTTTAGTTTTATATAACACAGATTGGTATTTCTTTTGATCTTTATTGCGCCTATTATATATTACGCAGGAAATAAATATGAATCTCCCACTTATATTGGTGAGAAGGTGACTCGGGGAAAACGATGAGATCACTCTTCGATGGACCCCGATAGGAGTCAGTGTCATTGTTTAGTCCGGATTTTTATTTTTTAAATTCGTGATGGTTATCCGTTTTTTGAGAGATAGGCTATAAGCTCTAGGCGCATAGTTAGTACAATTATAAGATTTTTCCTCATAGGGGTAATTTTCATCCCTAAAAAATGAAAAACAACCAACGGCACATGTACAAAAGTGAAGTGAAGGGTAAGTAGAACCCGAATCCAAATTGTCATGCAATTCGCTGGTAACACGGACAATTACAGGGTATCGCCATATTTCACGTTCATTTACTGGGTTCATTTACATTTACTCCATTACCATAGTCGTTGAACTCAAAATTTAATTAAAAACATTTATAACCTTGATCTCCTGTTATCTCCCTGGTAGCCTCAGCATAGACATACGAGATTTCATACTCAATATAAGACATTAAAAAAATTATAATTTTCTAAATTATTTGGATGGACGATTTTTTCTGACACGCAGTCTACTGTCGTTACGGTCGAGTGAGCTTTAATATACTGTTACAGACACATAAATTCTGAGTATTTGTAATTATATTAATTGTGTACGAAGCATATAATAAACTTTTTACATTTTTATTCTCATAAATTCCAACTTCATTTAAATGTTATACTCATTTTATAGAAATATATTACAAAAATAATAGCCATTCTTACCTCGTTTCTACCTTCCTAAATTGTGACTCTTGATCAACCTTTACAGTTATTCCTAAATCATACCTTTCTTCATTGGTTTCTGATGGATCTCTAACTAAGGGAGGGAAGTCTTCTTTGCTCTTCCGGTTTAAGTTCTTCTTTTCTTTTCTTACCAAAGGTGGTTTGGTATAGGCCTCTTCATCTTCCCAGTTACGTGTATACTTATTAGGACCACGGCTAAATGAAACAAATGGAACAAACATGTACATAATGTGCCATATTGTACATATTTTTTGATCATAATTTAGTAAGGAAAGAAATGATCTAACACAATTTATCACATAGTTCTATAAGCCTCTTATCAACTTTTCAAATGAGACATCACGATGGATGCTTCATCGGTCATCATAAAAAGAAGTAACAACTTCTTTTTATGATGATTAACAAGAAGTAACAATTTTCTAGTCATTTTATTATAATATAAATTTATTAGAGCAATATCTTCAGTCATAGGGAATTGAACAAACACAGCAAACTTAAAACATATCTAAGAAACATATAAGCAACAGTTTAAGAAAGCTGGTTAAGATACCAATTAAAACGAAAATCTAAGATCACGGAGTTTAAACAAAAAGGGGAAACACTAGAGGGCACACTATATTAGAGAGCATTTTTAAGTTGACAATCATTATCAGGAATACTTCTACATTTTTAGGACGCCGCTACATTATGAGTTTAGTTTGACTAGCGTCATTCATTCTTGCCGCGTGTCCGGCCTAATTCTACTCCATACGTACTTTCAGACATAAAAGAGAGGTTTTATTGATAATGACTTTTGTTGTTTTCTCCAGATAGGTTGTTGGATTATTAGGAATTGGTCTGTAGTTTGGAGAATTAATGAGGTTTGAGAGTTTATTAATGTAAGAAGAAGTGTTTAGGATGACGGTGGTATTGCCTTTATCAGCGGGAAGAATGACTAGATTTGGATTTGACTGAAGTTCTTTCAGAACTTTTTTCTGAGATTGGCTACTGTTCAGAGTAGGAGGCTTTGCGTTTCTAAGAAGTCTAGCGATGTCTTGTCTAATTATTTCAGCATCTTCAGATGTAAATCTAGAGTTTGACATATGATTGTCTCAATTGGAATGTGAATTAGGGTAACAGAGTAATTGAAACTTTTTGCTAAAGCTTTACTAGTAATGATCAAAATAGGGGTATCAGAAAAGTTATGAACCACTGTTGTGGGTTTCAATGTTGTGGTTTTTACCATTTGCTCGGCAATTAGATGTGCTAATTTGCGCCTCTGAGTTTTAGTTTTAGATTCGAAAGTGTTTAGGACTGCTTGTGTGTTAGTACAGTTGAAACTATCCCATAATATAGGATGTGCGTTGAAAGAATGAATAAATGACCAGATATTGGAAATATTGCTATTTGTGACATCTAGTTTTTGTCTAATCAAATGAATAACTTCCTTAGTCTTTCTAAGAATTGGAAAAAGAAAGAAGTATGGTGTTTTGAGTTTTAGAAATTTGGGAATGACTTTGTGGTCTCGGCAGGCATTAGGGAATGTTAAACCACAAACGAGACAGTTCTTGTGTAAAAGCAAATTGATATATTATGGTTTAGTGAGCTAATATTACTTTCTGTAGAGACAGAATTAATACACTATTACAAGAATTAATATTAAACTTGACAGTCTTCCGGATTGAACACTGAACAGGTCTCAGTCCCTCAAGCTCTCAGACACTACTACACTGATCACTAACCAATGCATTACTTCTACTTTGAACAGAGGAAGTCCTCATATTAGAGAAGTCAAACAAAGAAATTTTACAACTTACCCATATTTTCTACGTCTCCTTGCTCTTGGAGGTCCATCTTCATTTCTAATATCATAACCATAAATAGCGATCAGCTCAGCTCTAGATTTTGGTGCTTGTTCAGGTTCATTAAACCGATCATGGGACCATCTTTCTTTCTGGTCCTGCCAAATTTTCTTCTTCCCATCTTTATCTTTATCAGCTTCTTCTTCATTTGCTTCCTCACTAAAACACATAATATGTAAAATTTATAAACTATATATGTTGTTTTATTTGAAATTATAAGCTGAGGTAAATTAAAATTACAAAGATATTAAAATTTATAAAAATTAACACCAAAATATTGCTACCAACATTTGTCTCAATACCTATTTGTACTGGTGTGTTGATATATTTTTGAAATTAAGGTACTACAAATTTTATATCATTCAAGACAGATAATTTCAACAAGAGTGTGAACTGGAGAACAGGAATAGATTCATTGCCAGCTATCTTTGATTTTGACTTCAGTCTGTCACTGTTTGATGAACTGTAAATACAGCTATCATACCTTTTAGAGAGTTATTATTTTTTCTTCTGGTAGTGCCTATCTACCATTAGTAATTCTGTTATAAGAGCTACCTGTTGTAATGAGCCAACGTGCACGTGGCTGTTGCAGCCAGCCGGCCGCACTGCCCACATCTTATTCGGCCAGACGATCCTTAAAACCAAAGTTAATATGTACTCATATGGGACACTGTGCAGGACGGCCAACCAGTATGCAGCCAGACAGTGATCTGTACATGTGTTGAATAGTTTGTGTTTATTTTTCCTATTAAAAAATGGGACTTACTCAATATTCCTTCAAAAACTGAAGGAGTTTATTACTCAATAAACTCCTTCAGTTTTATTTTAGGATTATACATATACACAGCAATGGCTACCTCCGTGACATCCATCTCGTAATTGAAACTCAGACATTGTAGAATACGTATATTACCGGCCTATCAGAGTCATTATAATTTGAGATATGAAAACATCAAAAACTCTCATAGAAAATAATTAAACATCAATATTACAGTAAAAAAGATGTACAATCTCCATAAAGAAAAATGTGCCAAAGAGAATAGAAAATTGAAGAATTTAAAGTACTACCATGCCTTCAATAGTAAATTTAACATGCACTCCAAACCACCCCTCCAAGATACCTGCAAGTTATGTGACAAATTAGAACTGAAAATAAATCCACACGAGAAGAACAATTAAAGAATTACTACTATAGAGCGATCTACATCAAAGGAAAGCAGATGGTGCTAGGGAGACTTTAAAAGAATGATTCAAAGAAACTAGATGAACCCTATGTGATTATATTTGATTTACAGACAGCACTACTCTACCCAAAAATTAACTATTTCAGTAGCCTACTATAATAATATAAGAGGAATTTGTACAAATAAAATTTTAGCATACATTGCAAGTAATTATTAACAATGACTATAATTAAACCTCATTCAAATAACTGTGTTCCATATTTTTAGGACAAAATAAAATAGGTCATTTAAAAAAGTCAATTTTCTTTTTTTTCAAACTCAAATTAAACTCAGTATTCAAGCAAAATTTCAATGTTTTGTGTCACTGTTATAAAACTAAACATCTAATATTAATTAAAATCTAATTACCGTACATATGTGATATTTCTACAATTAACTATAACTGATTTCACAAAACCTCCAATATCTCAGTTTCAAGTTTTGTGTAGTTGGACCATTATTATTCTGAGACTCTCACATGTCTCACAGTCATATCAATCATCAACTCATATCAATTACACTCTCCCATATTTTTATGGGTAAATGCCCATACGGGCAGCAGGACTTGACCACTATGATATAAGACTGCTGAAATACTTATATTACAATCAAGTAGCCTCTATCCAAATTGGAGACAGTCCCACTGAAAAAATACCCATCAAACGTGGAGTATGGCAGGGTTGTGTTTTGTCACCCACTCTTTTTAATCTGTACTCTGAAGAAATCTTTAGGGAGGCTTTGGATGACAGACATGAGGGAGTAAGACTAGGTGGAGAAGTAATCAACAATATTAGATACGCTGACGATACAGCCATTCTTGCAGAAAGTTTACAAGATCTCCAAACATTACTAAATCTAGTCAGTGAAGCAAGTTATCGGAGAGGCCTAAAAATCAACATTTCAAAGACAAAGTGGATGGCAGTTGGAAAGATCCATATAGATCAAGGTCTGCTTTCTCTTAATGGAGAAGAGATAGAAAGGGTAAATCATTTCAAATACCTTGGCAGCTGGTTAAATGTAAATTGTGACTCTGATGAAGAGATAATATCCAGGATCGAAATATCACGTAAGGCTTTTATGACCTGGAAACCAGTTTTATGCAACAGAAACCTGTCAATGAACATTCGTAAGAAGGTCCTGAAATGTTATGTGTGGTCGATCCTATTGTATGGTTGTGAGACATGGACGTTAAAAACCACAATGCTAAACAAGTTAGAAGCATTCGAAATGTGGTGCTATAGACGAATCCTAAAGATATCGTGGGTTTCGCACACTTCCAATGAAGATGTTCTTCAAATGATCAACTCAGAACGTCTGCTTATAAACATCATAAAGAGGAGAAAAACAGAATACTTCGGCCATATAATTAGAGGACCCAAATACCATTTACTTCGCCTTATAATACAAGGAAAAGTGGAAGGGAAGAGATGGATTGGTTGAAAGAAACTTTCATGGCTGCGTAATATTAGACAATGGTGTGGTTTCACAGTAGAAGAATTATTTCGCGCAGCAGCCGACAGAGAAAGGTTTCAGGAAATTGTAAGCATGATGACGGCCAACGTCTGAATATGGACACGGCACCCAAAGAAGAAGATATTTTCATGGAATGACTAAGTAGTTTTATGGTTTGTACATTATTGTACATCTTCCTTGTTTTTGTAAACAGGTACTAATAGACTGCTTCTCCATTTTTTCTGGCATTTGTCCCAATTACATAATTCTATTAAATAAACCTATTAGCCAACTATTCCTGACTCTCCTGTCCACACTTTCCCAGAAATATCATCTGGTCAAACTGCTTTACCTTTATTTATTTCTTGCGCTTTAAGTGCTTGAATAACTTTCTTGTTTGTTATTTTAGTGGCCATTGCCGTTACAATTTCCGTTAGCTCAACTGGTTTTCTGTCAAATTCTTCATATAAACTACCAAAGTTGCAAGTTGACCATATAGATTTGTAGAAATATGTATTTAATTTAACTTTTCTACAACTTTCACAACTTTCAGCATTTTAAAAATATAAATTTAAAGTAAGTAAATGGGATAATTTAAAATATGATTAAGCTCTTTTGGATACTGTTTTGGTATATAAAAGAGAATTATTTGTCAGGAATATAATATCAAAAATAAACAAGATCATTCAAGGTTATTTATCTTGGTTCAAGGTTCATTTATCTTGTGTCTGGTCAATTTTGCTTTACTTTCTGGACAATAAATGCTTGCTTTTTGCTGTTTTGAATAATACTTTACATATATTCTTAAAATATATGTCTAACCAAGACAATATTACAAATAGTAGTAATGGGATATGATTTCATTAACAGTGATTCAGTGACAGTGTTTTATAAATCACTGATAACTGGCGTTCCTTGCTAACTTCTGTAACTGTGATCAGTGACCAGATATCTCAGATACCAATTCAATTTCAGTGTCTCACAAAACTTGTTTATATAATAAATATTATGATATTCTCTGTGAATCTGATTTGGGGAATGGTGACTCACATTTGGCGATCTACCACCAGTGAAAATTAGGAACTGAAATATGAGATATTTAATGTTATCTACTGATACTACTTGTCTTTTTAAAATAATGTCAATAAATGTATTGAATATATTTTTTCCGTTTATAAAAACATTCTTAGAAGTTTATAAAAAAAAAATTAAGTGAAATATAGAGTTATTTTTAGTTTTATTTCATCTAGTGGTGTTAGTTAAACATATTCATTCTCACCAATATGTTTTTATAGTACTACCTAACACAGAGTGATCACTATCAAAATGTTTAGTTTACAATACTTGTGACTACCTGTTACTGTAAATAAAACAACAGTAATCATGGTCACTGTTTAAAATAACTCTTATTAAAAAATCATGGTCACTGATTATGGTATATGGTATTATTTAAAACTCACCACTTTCACCATCAAAGTAATATTACTTAGCAAACATTAGTTGTTGAACATATTGCAAACCTTAGTTATTATTCAAAAGACAAATTCAAAACCTCCTCTTATTACAATTTTATTTTAAAACCTAAGAAAGTAATGAAAAATATTTTTTTACATTATCAGTTTTAAATCAATGTGAGAGTAATTCTATCCTAAGTAGATTGGGGGGGGGGGGAAGATGATAAACAAAATGTATTGTGAAGATAATTATGTTTTTTTTTTCAAAATAATAAATTTATTGTTGGTTAAACAATTGTAAGTATGTCTTATCTTTAATTCAACATGAATGCAACTAATTACAACTGTTTCAATATGTTATTATTGCAGATGCCACATGCATAACATTTAATTTAATATTAGAAAATGAGGTGATTGTATAAATATATAAATGAAAGTTAAAATGACTATAAAATAAAAATGACCTACTTGTCTTCCAGAGTCCTATCGTCATGTTCATAGAATGTACCCCTCTTTGGAATGTACTGGGGGTTCTTCTTGTCTTCATCATCATCTACTTTTTTAGATGGAGTGCTCTCTTGACCATCTCCTTCTTCCCGTTCTAATATAAGGCTTCCATCATCTGAGTGTTCATCTAAATCAGAAGCCCTGGATCTTACTTTAACATTTTCGTCTTCTTCACTATAGCTTTCAGCATCAGCACTATCATATTCTGAGTTGTCACCTGAATTATTCTCAGGAAAAGCGGTGTCAGTTTCCTTCTGTAAAAGCATTGTATTGACTGACGGTGAACATGAAATAACCTTTAGTGAATGCCTTGCTCTACTTAATATCCCCGACCTTAATTTAATGACTAGATTGGTCTTTCTCTTTTAGTTTTCACTTTTAAGTTGTTCTCTAAAAGAATTAGTTGTACACTTACCTCGGATGTGGCAAAAGAATTATCGCTTTCCTCTGTCGCAGTTGCTGCTTGAACTGTTATAGGATCCATTTCTTATATAAAAAATAAATTTCATTCCTTAAATTAAAAAGACGTAAGATATGAATATGCTTCTCATAAATTATAGCATAACATATGTTTATGAATGTTTCTAATTACTTGTAAAAGTTAAACAGAGAGAGAAAAGTAAACGTATGACATTTCTTATACAGCTAAAAAATATGTCAATTTCTAGAAGAGGTTAGGAATTAGACTTCTGCTTATCCATTGTGTTAACTAATTTATTGGACTTTAGAATTTCTAAATAAAATATTAGTTAGACATATAAACAAAATATTATTGTTGCATATTGTTTTAAGACAATAGAAATAATAATTTAGAACAAACTTTCAAATGGCCTTTTATGTAGTAGCTTAATAAAAAGCGTATAAAAAGGTAAATGCCAATTGCCAAATAATTTGTTCCAAAGGTAAATTTTAAAATTGTCATACATTCTAATGTACTGTAATTAATTGCAGTGTAGTATAACAATTAAATTCATGAAATAACAGGAAATTAAAAATGGAAAGGTAAATAGCCATAACACCGCCATTTTAATGTTATTTATTCTTTTTGTCGATAGATGGCACACGTTTATATCTAGTTTGCTTGTCTGTGACACAGAATAATAAACAATTGTTTATTATTCTGTGTCTGTGATATGTTCTGTGTTCAAAAATATAGAATATCTCTTTAGAAGCTTATAAAGTCAATTATAATCCTAAGTGCATTTCCCTACATTAAAAGTAAATTGTTTTAACAATATTTATTTACTATATATATTCTTTATTCTTACTGTAGTATTGTATACTCTATACTAAACAAATAGTGTGGTTTCTATTGCCTAATCAGTAGTTATGTCAACCATGGTTTAGTGGGAATATTAACTTTGAAATTAAGCGGTAAACGGGTAAACAATATAATGAGACTAATTTTGTTTTGTATTTTGAGTCATTATTTTCATATACCCCAAAGTAAGTGCCTCCCAGTGGAGGAAGAGGAGAAAGAACTAAAAAACTTATTTGATACAACAATATCTAAGATCTTTTGAAATCTATTTCTTTTTTGATTTCTTCCAGTAACGAGTTATTAATTTCATAGCATTTTTCTCATCTTCTTAGAGGCCTATCTCCCAAATGATAATTGCTATTTGTATTTTAAAGTTGCTACTCTAAATAAATTAGTCGATCTGCATTTATACCAATCATGCAGATTTTTAATCAAGAATTTTGCCTTCGGCTATTGGATCTTCTTTTTCTATCTAAGCACTATTTATATAAGTTTCCTATTAGATGTTGTATGTTGAAAATATCTCTCTAATACCTTCTGCATCAGGTATTTCACAATTTGCAATTTCACAATTTTGTAGACAATTTGCTGCAGTACTTACTAGCCCAGTGAATTTGGCGATACGCAAATATTTAGATGTTAAAACGAAAGAAAAGGATGCTAAAAAGAATAAAGGGCATCTGGAAAAAAAATTCAAGAAATTCAAGAGCCAAAAGAAGATGTTTTGTGAGTCATCTTCTTCCGAAGACTCTGACGAACATATAGAAATTACTAAAGACTCTAGTAATGATCTACAAGATGAAACAAATTGTGAATGTGTCGGCTGTGGGAAAATATATTCAATCACATCGAAACAAGAAGACTGGGTACAGTGCGTGCATTGCAATTCTTGGTTTCATGAAAAACTGCTCAAAATATGTGATATATGTGGAAAAGTATTGGCAAAACAACGTGCCAAATAATTTTTATGATCTAGCTATATCACCCTTAGTGTCCGAGTCATCTCACCCTGACACATCCGGTGAGTTGGCCTTTTACAATTTTTTGTATTTTGATGGTTACTGTTTTTGTAAGTATTTGGCTTAACCAACTCTGTACACTTTCTTCTAATGGTATTTTAATATAAATATATAAATATTTCAGAGCGTAAACTTTTTTGTGCTAAGATACAGACAGTCAAAAAATGTGAGCCATCTCTCCCGGACTTACCCTATGCCCTTTTTGTATTTTAACAAAAATGTAGTCAGTTTTTATAAAGGTGTTAAATAAATAAAAGTTGCGAGATTTTTCTCATTTTTTTCGATTCTCATGAGATCATCATATTTGTCACTTTCATTGACCGATCGTAGTGGAATTTTCATATTAGAGTCTAACATTTAAAATTTTGTAACATGAAATTTTGAATTTAAGTTTTGGCAACAAATATAAGGCTTTGAAGTATGCCAAAAAACGCAGAATTTAAACTTTTACGTTACAAACGATCGCACGTCACAGAAAATTCTTTCACAAAGACAGTTTTTTGTGGAGTTAGTAGCTGTAGTTATTTAGTTTTGAAAAATAGACTTATGTAGTCGAAAAGAAGCAGTTTTGAACATTTTAGATCGTTTGTAATGTGAACCTTAGACAAGGAAAAAGAGAGGACGGGTATCGCTCTTTCAACCAAACTTCAAAAAGTGAAGCCACTTTTCGATGTGTCCGCCATGTTTTTGGTGACAAACAATAGATGTGACACCAGTTTTGTTTTTGTGGTTTTTTAAAAAAAGTGAATTGAACACCGATTTTTTTCCTTAGCAAAATGGTGAATTGTACGTATATTCTTTGTAAAAATCGCAGCGAGCAGAAAACACTAGGAATATCGTTTCATAGGTAAATATTATAATAGCGCAATTAGGTATTGATTGATTTTACTTTTTATTTCAATTTTAAACCTCAAAATCAATTTAAATTAGTCTTTTAAGGAAAGGTGAAATCTAAATTAGTAAATAAGAATGCTAAATATGCATAGTTATTTCACTAATTGACAAAATTCCACAAATAAGTAACTAAATAAATAAATTTCGTTAATTTTAACCTGACCAAGTGATAGTAGATGTAGAGAAAAACTCTACAATGAGCTAAGGGTACATATTTAACACATGCTGTTGATAAACGCATACTTTCTTGTCAAGAAATACAGCAAAATACACGAATATCGCTGTATGATTTTCGATACCGTGTCATAAGAGATATGTTACACACATCAAGGATTTCTCGAGAATTGCTTTCTTCTCGAGGCAACACAGAACATATCTTGGAGAACAATGCTCCGACACAAACAAGGAAAGCTGCACATCGGCGTTGCGTAATGTGTTACAAAAAGAAAGTGTCTGTCCCACCTGTCCCAACAAACCTGCTCTGTGTGCGGTGGTACAAAGAGCAGGTTTGTTGGGACAGGTGAAAAGAACTGGGTAAGAAATAAAAGAGTAGAAGAGAAAGATCATATAAGTCGAATGGCAACAAATAGAGTAGTAAAGACGGCAAGAGATGGTGCCCCAATAGGAAGACCACGAAAACCATGGAACGACAACTTACTAGAGGCACATTAAAAACAGAGAGAGTCATGTCTATAAAAAAAAGAAGAAGAAGAAGAAGAAGAAGGATGCTATTGTATACAAGTATGTTTATGGGAAATACTCCTTCTCGAGTACCCATCCCATTTCGAAACTTTGTTAGTTATAGTCATAAAAATTAACACATCTGTTAGTTTGTTAGTGTCTGTTAAGAATTTTTAAAGTATCTAAAGAACAGTCACAATTTTCAGCAAGTATCAAAAAGTTTCTCTCTATGTGTAATGTAAAATATATATCATGGTAAAATATTTTAAAAATCTATCTCCAAGTGATTTTTCATTAAATTTTCAATAGAACGAGAGATTAAAAAGGCCGTAAAAGAAGGAGAGTGAACAGGTGAAAAGTAACAGCGGGCGAGGCAATAAAGAAGAATTATTAAGGAAAGCCGTGAGCCAAAAATCCACCCGGAGTTTCAGGCACAAGTTGGGGATCAATGTCTCAACCCTAACTAGTAGATATAAAGGTCAAGCCTTTAACAGACCATTTGTTAAATATAAAATACGGCAAACGGTAGAATTTTTAACTTTAAATTAGTGAAACATCGCACCAAAAATTTGATATGAAAAAGATATCTTTGGCTATAATTTACATAAACACATGACAGGGCTGTATTGAGATCATTTTTTTTTTCATTAAAAAAATCGCGAATGCAAAATGTCACATGAAATCACATATGCAATTTTCATATGTTTTAAACAAGACTATCATGATTAAAAGAAACCAAATATACGGGGCAATGAAAGAACTGTAAGTGACAGTTAAGATGATATAGCTAATAAAAATAATGTTAGAAAAACCAAAAAAAGAAGTAGCATGAGATTGCGTTAGCTTAGAAATAAACTAAATTAAAAAATGCTTTAAAGAATTTCAAGGACAAAGTAAGTGGACAATGTCCAGCAGTCTTCCTCAGCTTCTTCCATTTGTCTCAGTCTTGTGCGGCTTGCATCCATTTACTGCTAACACGCTTCAGGTCATCAGCCCATCCGGTTGGTGGGCGGCCTCTACTACGTAGTGCTTCTTGTCTTGGTCTCCATTGGTCTTTGTCTGATAATCTGGCAACGTGTTCTGCCCAATTCCATTTTAGAGAAGCAATTTTTTCGATAGTATTTGAAAGAAAGGTTCTCAGAATAATATTTGGCGCTCAAAGACATGCATTCACAGGGGATTGGAGAAGACGAAGCAATGCTGAATTGGTGACTCTGTATGGAACTGAAAACATAGTTAGACATATCAAGGCAAACAGAATAAGATGGGCAGGTCACGTGGTACGATTAGAGGATGACAGTGTCTTTTGAAAGACCAGTTGGTAAAAGATCAGTAGGCCGACCGAGAAAAAGATGGAAGAATGATGATGAAGCTGATGTATCCAGAAATGGGGTACAACAATGGGAAATAGAAGCGCAAGATCGTAAAAGATGGAGGACGATAGTGGATGAGGCGAAGGCTCACCGCGAGTTGTAAAGCCAGTGAAGAAGAAGAAGATTTTTTCGATAGCGTTTGTTTTGTTTGTTCTACGACTTATTTCTTCGTTTGAAATTCGGTCTGTCAAAGAGACACCCAACATGGTAACAGAATCGCGCAAATCTTATTTAAATTTTTCCACCCCATAAGTGA